TGACACAGTTGCTATTCGTACCAGGCAGTCAGATGCCAAAGTGTGTGTCCTTTAGTAACGTACTGTCTTTGTTCAGGTGACTGCTAGGTCAGCCCAAACCTGAGCAGCAGCGGACCTTCTATTTGGATTTTGAACACAAGTCATCTCATCAAGGATGCCTTTAAAAGGAAATTCCTCATGTATTCATCTTGTTCTTTGTTTTAAGCCTATCATCCCATCCTTCCTGCTTATCCTTTCTCTCTGGCTAACAAACCCATTAGACATATATAACATAGGAGGAGTTAGAGTGAAAATTGAATATTCTTCTCAGAAGCCTTTTTTTCCCTGTTCTGAAGCCTCAACTGTTTAACTCAACTGTAAACGCATGTTCTATGGTGGCAGAAAACAATGTCACCAGGTTACCAACCACACAAGCACAGGCAGCTGTGGAGTCAAGGCTGTCCCTGACACTTGACCTCACTGATTGCTATCCCTTGTCCCTAAGGTCACTGGTATTTATTCATCCCCTGGAAAGAAAAATCTGCATGCCTTTCTGAGTCCCACACCAAGACCCACGGTAATAGCAAAAAAGGCAGAATGAGGAGGCACATGAGAACCACCTCTGAAAAATAAATGTCTCAAAGATTGATGGCTTAATGATCTCTTTGGAGATTGTGTAAAAATTATTGATCATGTTCTTAGGTTGTAGAAAATAGGCTCTGAGGTTGAGAGGTAAGTGCTTTCTTCAAAATAATCCAGAAGCAGTAACATAAATCAAAGTGCAAAGCATCTAAAACTCTGTAACTATCACATTGGTTTCACAAACAGTTTAACTTCAATAAGAAAAAAGCACTATTTTTTTTTTTTACTCTAAAGTTATTTTGGAATGCTGAAAAAGAAGGTAAAGTTTTATTCTAGTATGTACTTTGCAAAATCGTACCAAATTCCTGACTTTTAGCACTTATGGATTTTCCAAAACAATAGAAACATTGCAAGGTATAATTTGTACTAGATAGAGTTTTTTTCCTTATGCAGAAATAATGACATAAAAGAAATATGAGGTACTTTGGTTTTAACAAATGAAGCTGACACATTTAGTCTTGCTCCTTTTTTTTGAGTTAAATTTAAACTTTAGTACAGGACTATTCAATTTAAGCTTTTTTTGAAGTACATTCAATTTGTATTTAAAACCATTCGTTCTGCATTATAAGAAATAAAACTCCAGCCATGTATCTTGCTGAAAGAAAAATCAGTCTGCAAAAGTATCAATTTTTAAATAATTAAATTGAATGATGTTTTTTCATACTGTAGCAGCATTTTTTGCTTTGAAGGGAGTTAGAGAGTTGTGCCAGGAGAGTAATAAGATATCTAAGCATGAAAATTACTCCAAAATGATGATGAACCACGATTCTAAAATTGTTACCTTAACTCAGTAGACACTAATTTAATTGACTCATATTATAGTTTAAGATTTGCTCTGAACTGTGGGAGACCTGAGACGAAGTAGTAGAGAAATGTTTTCATTACATAGGCCTTAGTTTCCTCATTTATAAACCAAGGAGATTAGACCACATGATCTTTAAGGCTACTTTTAACCTGTATAACTTCTAGATTTGTATCCTGATATAAAATGAGCTTATTTTGAGAAATTTGCGTACTAGACCTACTAAAGATTTCTGCCTTCTGGTTCTATTGAGTAAAACAGTATTATCTGCCTCCTAGGTAGTCAGTGCTTTATCACTGGAGGCCAGGAATAGAATGATACACAAATGTGGATCCTCCTATTGGTTTCCTTTAGTGGGGGCTCAGGATGTGGAGAGGTAATAGACTCGGGAAAGTTCAGATGAACTGTTTGATCATTGAGGGATTTTCCTCTCTGATGGCTGTGAACTCTGGATTGTTCTCACAGGCAGACTTTGAAGCTAAAAATGACGAATGGGAAATGAAGCAGAAATTGAATTTGTATTTCTCTGGAGCACTAAGGGTCCTCCTAGTGTTTTACTTTAAAAGGATGTAACTAGGCCTTTACATTCCCTTATAAGAGCCTAACTCCCTCTACCATGATTATAGCCAACTTTAAACTAAATGTACCTCCACTGTTTTGGACCATTTTCAGATGAAGAAAAAAGAGTGTATTGAGCCATATGGAATATCATTAAACCCTCTGCTAGTTTACATCTGGGAACACTAAAGAGAGGTGGATTACTCTTGGATTTCATCTGAACATGCTCCACTAAATAGGAACCTTCATTTGCACTAGCCCTGTGGGGTTCTCTATTCTTCTAGGTAGGCATTCAAACCTACTGCATACCAAAAATCCCCTGCATGTATATCATTTTCTTATTCAATTTCCTCTAAAATGAGCAGTGGCCCAACCATGTCTTTCTGGGAAGCTACTGAGCAGGATTGCTAGCTGCCACCTGCCTTGACCTTTGCCCCAGTTCCCTGAGCTGGTGCCAGTCTTCCTGGTTCACATACTCAGCATCTGAGACATTTCTCAAGGACAGGGAGAGGAGATGCATGTGAAAATAATTTCTTTTGTGGAAAGAATTCCTTTTTTTACTTTTCATTTTTACTTTCCGTTCTGCCTATGAGATCATCATATTAAAGCTGGATTCTCTACCTGCTATTTATTGTAGGCTAGATACTCAGCAGATGACATCAGTAAGGCATATTTCATTCCCAGTTGTAAGCCAGTATATATATGCCCAGGGTTTCCTGTTATGAGAGCATCTTGAAAGGCAGAGCTGAAAAGAAATGGGGAATCCTTGTGGGCTCAGGAGGGAACCTGAATTCTAATTCAGAATATACTACTAGTTAGAATTATTATTATTTTTTTTGGTACCAGGGATTGAACTCGGGTCCTTGCGCTTGTGAGGCAGGCAGCGGGACCACTGAGCTAAATCCCTAGCCATCAGACTATACTACTAGTAAAGGAAGTTTGATGTTCTTATCTACAAAAAGGCTGTAATAATATGTGCCTTGCAAACCTTGGATTTAAAACTACTTATACCTTACAAAAATATCTTGTTATGTTTTAACATGCTAATTTCTGGAAGGGATCCATTTTAACCTACAGGCAATACTTGGAACTAATTTAAAACCAGGAAGGAGGTAACCGGATATAGAAGTTGAATAGCTCTTATGCTTTCCCATCAATGATACTTGTTGACTAGTTCAGTAGAATTAAATAATATCATATGTGCTTCAAGGAGCCTTAATTTGCAATCTTAATTACAAGAAATTTAGAGAGACTGATGCTATAATGATGAAAAGCATTGATTTTGGAGTAAGAAAGCTCAGGGTCTAAGATAGTGTTTTACCACTTACTTCCTGGGGTATGTTGCTTGGGCAAATATCCCAACCCAAAAGGTTAAATTTTCTGACCTTCATTTATTCTAACATATAGTTAGGTATTATAATAACATATTGCTCAGGATTGTTGTGAAAATTAAATATATCAAGATGGGAAAAACTGGCATTGTGTGTAAGTCATTGTGTACCTTCAGAAGGATTCATTTCCCATCCTCTCCATCTTTACATGTCCCACAGAAAAGGAAGAGAGAAAGGCCAGGGGCCTGCAGAGTATGGCTTCTTTGTGTCAGAGCTCAAATTCGGAGACTCTAAAAACATGAGCTATCAGGGTATAAATAGACTTACTTATTTCTTGTTAAGTAACCCCTCCCACCTCCTCCCTCCTGTTTTAAAGATATAAACAATTTTACTGCTTAAAATAGGGAGATGTTTTCATCTTTTAATCTGCGTGGTCATAAAACTGTCAAAATTTAATGGTCACTGATGAAAATAATTGGAAGTACCTCTTGCAGTTCCTTAAATTTTTCTTATGCACAATCAGTTACCTCCCTTATTCTGAGCAGCACAATCCCCTGAGAGGCTATGCAATTCATTGGGGATTGTCCTCTCAGCTGTGTTACCTGGTGCCTTATTCATTCTCATAGCATTGACTTATACAAAAATGTTGAATAGTTTTAAAATAAGCAAAATAAAAGATGATAATACCTTGACGCATTTCTATAAAAAAATCTATAAAAGTAATGATGTCACCATTGCTGAACAATGTTTATGGAGGTAAAATTTAAAAACACAAATGTTCCTCCAAATCTTCGAAGAGTTAACCCTTTCAAAATATAAAGTTACAGTTGTACACATAGCTGTTTAAATAATAATAGGATCATGCCAGCTATACTGCTTGATGAGCTTTTCTTCACTTAGCATTACATTTTAATCCATCTGAAAATAAACATTTTTATCAGTATCTTGAATGGTTGCATGATATTTTTTAAGAATGTACCATGAGGGGCCGGGGATTTAGCTCAGTGGTTCTGCCGCCTGCTTCACAAGCAGAAGGACCCTAGTTCGATCCCCAGTACAAGGAAGAAGAAGAAGAAGAAGAAGAAGAAGAAGAAGAAGAAGAAGAAGAAGAAGAAGAAGAAGAAGAAGAAGAAGAGGAGGAGGAGGAGGAAGAGGAAGAGGAAGAGGAAACCATGAATTATTTTATCCTTTGTTGATAGTTCTTTCACAAGATACCATGAATTATTTGATCCTTTGTTGATAGTTCTTTCACACCTTCTCAGTTTTTACATTTTAACTGTTATAATGAACATATGTCTAAGTATTTTCATAGGTTAATTACATGGAAGACAATTGTAAGTCAAAGATAAATGCACCTAAATCCTTCACTGTGTATTTCTAAATTGACCTTCAGAATATAAAAATATCTTCCACCAATGAACAATCCTATCAGCAATGTAAAAGTGTTGCTTAAAAAGTTCAAATATGGTAAGGTTAAATTCTAGTGATTTTCAATTCCTTATAATCTAGTAGTGGTGAGGTTTTCGTTTTTTCTCATATTCATGTTTTAATGAATTTATTTTTGAAATCAAATTTTTAAAAAGCACTATTTTGTAACAGTTATTTTCTATTCCTTTTTCCACTCTCTTCCAGGTTAATTTATCTTTTCTCTCTCTCTCTCTCTCTCTCTCTGTTTTTTTCTCCTCCAGGATGGAAGTATGATGTGATGGATGTAATTATGGGACACTGTGTGGGGACACGATCTCCTTCTTCTTGCTTCATCCTCCTGCTTCTCAAGCTTTTGGCCACTGTCTCCCAGGGGCTACCAGGGACAGGACCCCTGGGCTTTCACTTCACACATTCCATTTATAATGCTACAGTATATGAGAATTCTGCAGCAAGGACCTACATCAACAGCCAGAGCAGAATGGGCATCACCTTAATAGATTTGTCCTGGGATATCAAATACAGAATAGTGTCCGGAGACGAGGAAGGCTTTTTCAAAGCAGAAGAAGTCATCATTGCAGATTTCTGTTTTCTCAGAATAAGAACTAAAGGTGGGAATTCTGCCATATTGAATAGGGAAATTCAGGACAATTATTTATTGATAGTAAAAGGTTCTGTCAGAGGAGAAGATCTGGAAGCATGGACCAAAGTGAATATCCAGGTTTTAGACATGAATGATCTGAGGCCTCTGTTTTCACCCACAACGTACTCTGTTACAATAGCAGAAAGCACACCTCTAAGGACTAGTGTTGCTCAGGTGACAGCAACAGATGCTGATATTGGTTCTAATGGCGAATTCTACTATTACTTTAAAAACAAAGTTGATCTCTTTTCAGTTCACCCCACAAGTGGTGTCATCTCTTTAAGTGGACGATTAAATTATGATGAAAAGAACAGGTATGATCTGGAAATTTTAGCTGTGGACCGAGGAATGAAACTCTATGGCAACAATGGAGTGAGCAGTACTGCAAAGCTTTATGTTCACATTGAACGTATAAATGAGCATGCCCCAACGATCCAGGTAGTCACTCATGTTCCTTTTTCAGTGGACAAAGAGCCGACATATGCAGTGGTGACAGTTGATGACCTAGATGAGGGGGCCAATGGAGAGATTGAGTCTGTTTCCATTGTGGCTGGAGATCCTTTAGATCAGTTCTTCCTGGCTAAGGAAGGAAAGTGGATGAATGAATACAAGATCAAGGAGAGGAAACAAGTTGACTGGGCAAGCTTTTCCTATGGCTACAACCTCACTCTTCAAGCAAAAGACAAAGGGTCACCTCAAAAGTTTTCAGCACTAAAGATAGTCCACATTGCCAACCCCAAAAGGGACACTGTCCCTGTTAGATTTGAAAAAGAAGTGTATGATGTCAACATAAGTGAATTTTCCCCTCCTGGTGTTGTGGTTGCTGTAGTAAAATTAAATCCTGAATCTCTGGATGTGGAATACAAATTGTCTCCTGGTGAGGATGCGGTACACTTCAAAATCAATCCTAGGTCAGGTTTGATTGTCACATCACAGCCACTGAATACTATTAAGAAGGAGGTCTATAAGCTGGAGGTGACAAATAAAGAAGGAGATATAAAAGCACAAGTTACCATTGGCATAGAAGATGCAAATGACCATACCCCAGAATTCCAGCAGGCTCTGTATGATACATTTGTGAATGAAAGTGTTCCAGTAGGAACAAGCATTCTGACAGTTTCAGCTTCTGATAAGGATAAAGGAGAAAATGGATACATCACTTACAGTATTGCCAGCTTGAATTTGTTACCATTTGCCATTAACCAGTTTACAGGTGTAATTAGCACAACTGAAGAATTGGATTTCGAATCTTCTCCAGAAACTTACAGATTCATTGTCAGAGCCTCTGACTGGGGTTCACCATACCGACATGAAAGTGAAGTAAATGTGACCATCCGAATAGGAAATGTCAATGACAACAGCCCTCTCTTTGAAAAAGTAGCTTGTCAGGGAGTTATTTCATATGACTTTCCAGTTGGTGGTCACATCACAGCTGTGTCAGCAATCGATATTGATGAACTTGAACTTGTAAAGTACAAAATCATTTCTGGAAATGAACTTGGTTTCTTTTATTTAAACCCAGACTCTGGTGTTTTACAGCTTAAAAAATCACTGATGAATCCCGGCATTAAAAATGGTAATTTTGCCCTGAGAATTACAGCAACCGATGGAGAGAATTTTGCAGACCCCATGGCTATTAACATTTCAGTCCTCCATGGGAAAGTGTCTTCAAAGAGCTTCAGTTGCAGAGAAACTCGTGTGGCTCAGAAACTGGCAGAAAAACTACTCATTAAGGCAAAAGCAAATGGGAAACTGAATCTGGAAGATGGATTTCTTGACTTTTATTCAGTTAATAGGCAAGGACCACATTTTGACAAATCCTTTCCTTCTGACGTGGCTGTGAAAGAGAATCTTCCAGTTGGTGCTAACATCCTGAATATTAAAGCTTATGATGCTGATTCTGGCTTTAATGGAAAGGTGCTATTTACAATATCTGATGGAAATACTGACAGTTGCTTCAACATTGATATGGAAACTGGGCAACTTAAAGTCCTTATGCCCATGGATCGAGAGCACACAGACCTCTATCTCCTTAATATCACCATCTATGATTTGGGTAATCCACAGAAATCTTCGTGGAGATTACTAACCATCAATGTGGAGGATGCTAATGATAATAGCCCCATTTTTCTTCAAGAAAGTTACTCTGTTAACATTCTTGAAAGTTCAAGTATTGGTACTGAGATTATTCAGGTGGAAGCCAGAGACAAAGACCTGGGTTCCAATGGTGAAGTGACTTACTCAGTTTTGACAAATACACAGCAGTTTGCCATCAATAGCTCAACTGGAATCATTTATGTTGCAGACCAATTGGACCGGGAATCCAAAGCAAACTATTCCTTGAAAATAGAAGCCAGAGACAAAGCAGAAAATGGTCAACAGCTATTTTCAGTTGTTACCCTTAAGGTTTTTCTGGATGATGTAAATGATTGCTCCCCTGCTTTCATTCCGAGTAGCTATAGTGTGAAGGTTCTTGAAGACCTCCCTGTTGGCACTGTCATTGCCTGGTTGGAAACTCAAGATCCAGACCTCGGATTAGGGGGTCAAGTGCGTTATTCTTTGGTAAATGATTATAATGGGAGATTTGAAATAGATAAAGCAAGTGGTGCCATCCGCCTGAGCAAAGAGCTTGACTATGAAAAGCAACAGTTTTATAACCTCACAGTTCGGGCCAAAGACAAAGGACGACCTGTTTCTTTGTCATCTGTTTCCTTTGTTGAGGTGGAAGTTGTGGATGTCAATGAAAACCTTCATACCCCCTACTTCCCAGACTTTGCTGTTGTTGGATCTGTAAAAGAAAACTCACGCATTGGAACAAGTGTGCTGCAGGTGACTGCCCAGGATGAAGACTCCGGGAGGGATGGAGAGATCCAGTACTCCATCAGGGATGGCAGCGGACTTGGAAGGTTCAATATAGATGATGAGAGTGGTAAGTTTAACATTTTGTGCCAGACATGATTGTTTCACCTCTGTCAAATCATCAACCTTGAATGACATATTGGGGCACTCAAGTAGAATGACAAATGAGCTTGTCTTTGATGGATAATAAGTAAAAGCTTTGTTGTAGAATATATTGGTTTAAAAGAAGATCTGTTTGTATGGTAATATCCATTGTTTCCAATTTGAGTTCCAGTTCTGTTTTTCTTTTCTTTTTTTTTTCCCTCTTGCTCAGCACTATTGGTACCAGGTTATCTTTTGATAAGCATTAAGTAATTGTCATCTCTATTGATTGTACTTCTGACCCTTACTAAATGAATGGCCCCGATAAAGTAAATTACATTTGAATTGGCTTTAAATTAGAAGTGTGAAATGGATTTTCAAATGGATCTTCTGTAGAAAACTTTCCCTTACAGCAAGGCTTTCCTGAAGTCCTGCATTAGCTGCTTGGTCTTTCATGTTTAATGGGTACATCTGGCCCTTGAACAATGGACATTTGTACTGTGTATGCGCTAATAATACCTGGATATGTGCTTCTATAAATATTTTCATAATAGAAAACAATAGATGTGTTGTGATTTTTATTTATGAAATGTGTTTGTAAGAGTTTGGTGTAGAACTTTTAAGACAGGAGGCAAAATTGTTCAGATATTTTCACTGCTCCCTACCTGCATATTTATTATCCATCATAAATACAGACAGTTTTTTGAGTACATGTAATTTTTATTATTTAAATATACAGGTGCCTGGAAACAGTCATATGTGTGTGTTTTCCATTATTAGCACTGTATATTTTCTAGTCTGAAAAGATCATGGATGTCTCAAGGTAGAAGCTGTGTCTTCTCTGTTTCTGTGGTGGTAACAATGGTAACTCATTATGGTTTTTAGGACAAATTTGTATATATGAATTAATTTTCAATAACATTCATAGAGTGAAGTTTTCCCTATTTTGATCAGTTTGGGCTTCTACTTAAAAAAAAAAAAAAAAAACACAGTTTGTGTGCTTTGGAAGTCTGAGACCATTGGCATGGGCAGAGTGAAGGTGTTCTGGCTTTGCATACTGACAATTTCTTCCCATAGCCTTTCATTTTGAGGGGATAGGGAATTAAAGCTTCAGCATTTGATTTTTTTTTTTTTTTTTTTTTGGTACCGGGGATCGAACTCTGGCCCTTACGCTTGCACAGCAGGCAGCAAAACCACTGAGCTAAATCCCTGGCCCAGCATTTGATTTTTGAGAGACACAAATATTCAGTTAACACAGTCTTAGTGATGATAATGATTACTAGAATAAAAAGTGGGCAAGTGTCATTGTAGAGATACTATGTATTGCTAATACCAGAAAAATGATTTTTAAAACTATGTTAAATATTATATTAGTCAGATTTCCAGTCAGTGAGACACAGTGCTCAAGACCCACAACTTAAAGGAGGAAAGATTTAATAGTTTCAAGAGATTCAGTACATCAGTACACTCCAAAGTAAGGACATCAGGGTGAAAGGGCATGGAGCAGCAAAACTGCTTTAAAAAAAATGTTCGTAGCAGCTTGGAAGCAGAGCAGTGATGAAGGACCAGATACAGTACTCAAGGTCATGCCTCCACATCCCACACAGACACACAAAGAAATGTGCTACACCAATCCCTTGGGCAGCACCAAGCCAATCAAGCTTGACACAATCAAGCTTAATCATCATATCCTACCCTTTGTCAACTTGATAACCAAATAAACATCCTTAACCGTACTTATTCCTCAAGAAGCATGGGGTCATATTTCCACCCAAGATGATACAACTATCTTGCATGCAAATGAAAATGCAGTATCCCTTCCTCAGAGTCTCAACAGTTCCAGCATGTTTCAAAAGTCCAAGGGCAAGTCTCTTCTGAAATTCAAGGAAAATGCCTAGAAAGCCTAGATTTTCTGCATATGTACCTTATTACATGGTTTTTACTTTGGATAGTATTTTAGAAGATATGCACGTAGTTTCATCTGGTGATAAAGCTGACCTTATAAATCATACTCCAAGTTTGTCTCCTTTGTCTCTGTCAGAAGAAGCAACTCAATGGCCTGCATTTGGTTCATTGTATTCTGGAGTATACATATAGAATAAATTTTGTTATCAACGCTAATAATATCACTTATATTTTTACATTGCTTCCTGATATAAAAAGCTCTTTACTATAAACATTAACTCCCTTAGGTTAAAGAGTAGCTACAGGAATTGGGTACATATACTCATTAAAGGATATTAGGTATATGTATTGGGTACACATACCCATTAAAGGATATAAGCTGGATATATATCTTACATTTCCTCAGTCCTTACAATTGTTCTTTGCTTTATATTCAGTATATAGGTTTATGATCTATTTTTTCCAAGAACTGTTCAAAAATTTATAAAACTATAGTAGCAATTTCCTTTCCCCTTTATCATTTTATTTATTCAATTTTCTTAGAAAATGAAAGTAGGTTTTTCTCTATACTATGGTATAGGAAAAGAGACTTGGATTTGTTTCTGGGGTTTTAAAATGAAGATTAATTAAAATTTCCATAAATTAATATTCTTAATCATCAACCTTCTTTCCCTCTCACCACTTGTAGATTTTAGCATCTAAGCCCAAGAAGCTGGTAATTAATGATTGTCTAAACTTGTGCCAGAGGAGTGGCAGGGCTGAGAAATTTGGCAATGTATGCTCAACAAAAGAAGTAATCACCCGGACCGGGCCGGGGATTTAGCTCAGTGGTTTCGCCGCCTGCTGCGCAAGCCAAGTGCAAGGACCCGAGTTTGATCCCCGGTACCAAAAACCAAAAAAAAAAAAAAAGAAGTAATCACCATGGTATGTTAGTTTCACAGTGCTGTTGAATTATCTTCAAGCTTTTTGCTTCCAAGTGATAAAAATCATAGTTTGTACTGCTGGTGGACTGATACTCACTTAGTCATGGAGCTATTCCAGAGTCACGGGTCCAGACTGTTGTCTTCACTTGATCTGTGGGCATACAATGGCCTAAACCAGTTTGGACTTTTGTCTTTTAAAACTTTTAAGTTAGCTGCCAAAGGTTACACAAGGATTTGCACTGATTACTGGTTCCCTAATGTGCACATGAATCACGTGAAGAATCTGTTGACAACGCATATTCCCAGGCCAAATTCCCAAAGATTCTGATCAGTAGTTTGCTTTAGGGGGAGCCCAGGAATCTTCATTTCAAAACCCTTAGCATTTTTTCTATATGTGATTTGGAAATACTAAACTAAATTTATTGAGTTCTTGAGAAAGTGGCTACCAGATTATACATATTTTTTCTATATAGCATTTTTCCTTATGTTTTGAAAGGCAGATAATTTAGCTCATGTGTTAAATACATTTTTGCTCCAAATTTTACAATTCAGATAAATTGTTTATTGTCCATCAGCAGTCAACTTTATCGCAATTCCTCTCTGATGAATCAAAAATCTAATTCTGTGCTTCAGTAATTATGATGCTTCTGTTTTGTGAAAGTGCATATGCTGGAATTAGTAGATACATTTAGTAATTTCTGTGTTTTTTACTTTCTTGGAGCTCAGTGAACAAAACTATACCTTTGAAATTGTTTACTATACACAGGCATTTAATAACTATTTAATAATGTTCACAGTAAATGGATTAACTGGGGCCTTCCAACTAAGATGGATTTGATCACAATTTAAATCACTAGTTTGTAAGGTGCAATTTAATGATTTTTTTCTTCACAAAGAATGCATTCTTATTCTTTGCCACAGCAGGGATTCATATTCTTGACTGCTCAAAGATATTAGAAGGTTTTATGAAGAACACATTGTATATTTTAAACTGTGATTTTCTATTAGATCTTCACTTGAGTGAAGATCCCACCATCTTATTTACCTGAGGTTAATTAAAGAAATAATTGAAATGAACAACTTCTGGTTTGACACTTTAGTCATAGATAATTGGGCAGAGTTCTATCATTCATTATTACTAATTGCATTAGTTCTCTTATTTATCAAGGACCTGTTATGTGCCAGACACTGTGTTAGGTTCTTCTCAAGTCCTATTTCTAATTGTCATAGTAAATCAGTAAGGAAGAGTATACTGGGGTTTGTCTAACCAGCATCATTCATTTAACAGTTGTCAGTGCTGAAATTTGAATTCCAATGAAATGGATTCCAAATCTTATGTTATTCCCAGTTCCCAGTCTAGGATGCCGTCATAATTATATTAAGCCTTTGTATCAGTTAGATTTTTTTATATTATTGATTCACGACAAACAATCACAAATTTTCTTGCCTTATCAAAACAAAACTTCAGGCTCCAGAGTCTGGGAACAGCTCATGTAGCACTGTTAGCAGGCTCTGGATCCAACTTTGGTCTGGTTCACAAATCTTCTGATCCCAGAATATGAGGTTTTCAGTGTGAAAAGGAGAGCAAAGAGGACTCATAAAGACTTGCTGTGCCTCTTAAACCCCCCATACAAAACTGGCTTGTATTTCAGTAGCCAGAGCATGCTATGAGGCCAACTTCCAACACTTAGGTAGGGCATAGGAGACTATACCCTCTATAGTCTAAATGTTGATCCCCTCACTCCAGAATTCTCACACTAGAACCTAAAAACTAATGTAAAAATATTTAGAGGTGAGGTATTTGGAAGTGATTAATTCATGAGGGTTCCATGCTCATGAATGTAACTAGTACTCTTACGAAAGTGGCTCAAGTGAGCTCCCTTGCCCTTCTGCCATGTGAGGACAAGCTAGAAGTTACTGTCTATGAGGAATGGACTTTCACTAGACACTGAATCTGCTGGAACCTTGATCTTGGATTTGACAGCCTCCAGAACTGTCAGCAATAAGTTTCTGTTGTTTATAAATTAAGCACTGTAAGATATTTTGTTACAGCAGCCAGAATGGACTGATACTGTCTTCTAATAGGGAAGTGAGAGGAAGAGAATGAATAATTACTGATCAATAGTACAATCTGGCATAGCATATGACTGCTTTCCTTGTT